ATATTTATGTGGTGCCGAGGATTGAATCCAGTGCCTCACACATGGTAGGCAACTGCTCTATCACTGAGTTACAACCCCAGCCCTCCTTTTGATATTTTAACCTTGGTATTTAATATAGGAAGCTCTGGGACTATTATTTGAGGTCATTTATAGAGTCCTTTTTTGGCTTTGCAGTTTTAGGAACCTAGTGCATTGATTCATGCACTCAGGACTCACAAGGCTGACTCTAAGAAATAGAATGTCAGCCTATTTATAATGGTATGAAAGGCACTGAAATATGTTAGCCAGATCACTTCCTTCCACCTATAGAAGGAGATTGAACTTTGTTTCAGTCAGCTTTTTCACTGCTGTGACCCAAAGACCTGAGAAGAACTATTTTAGAGGAGGAAAAGTTTATGTGGCGCTCAGATTTTCAGAGGTCTCATTTCACAGAGTCGACTCCATCCATAGTTATGGACCAGAGGTTAAGCACCAGGTTAATCCATTCAAGTGCAGCATCTCACTGATTAGGTTAAGACACACATTACCTGATTTTTTTCACCTTTTAACTTTTTTGCATTGTCTTACGCATGAGCTTTTATGGGGATTTTTTCACCTCTTAATTTTCTTGCACTGTCTTACGCATGAGCTTTTGCAGGGACACTGTGTATCTAAGCTATAACACCTTGTATCTAAACTATAACAAATTGGATCACCTTGTGGGATGTAATCCCAAATCACAGCGATTGAGGATAGTCCTGTGTAGAAGCTGCCACTGGCTGACTTACTAGGACTCCAATTAGCTTGAGGAGCCAAGGCTTTTTCAGCTGTTCTTTGGTGTTGTAGCCCTTGTGATATTTGATTTCCTTAGCTATATTTTCTCCAAAGTTAAGTACTAAAATAGTAATTTGCATATTGAAAGAAAAGTGACCACAACACGCAGAGCAACCAAAAGATCTTTATTGCAGCAGTGCAACAAAGAGAAAAGAAAGAAGGAAAGAAGGAGAGAGAGAGAGAGAGAGAGAGAGAGAGAGAAGAGAAGAGAAGAGAAGAGAAGAGGAGAGATGAAGAGGGAGAGAGAGACAGAGAGCTCACGCAAGAAAGACAAAGAGAGCAAGAGAGAGAGAGAGAGAGCAAGAGAGAGGGGGGCCTGGCAGGAGGGAATTTTTATAGCCCAAATCTAATGGGGCCTCTGGGTCTGCAAGCTGCCTTGTTGGCCCAAGAGGGGGTTAAGTGTTCAGACTTGAGTGGGGTTGAATGTTCATACTTGAGGCAAACAGGTGATAAAGGACCAGATAGAGGGGGGTTTGAGTGCGTGGGCTATCTTGCAGCCAACATCTGTTCAGCCTGCCCTGCAGACAACACAGTTCAGCCTGCTCTGCACCCAACACATATAAGAGGGGCTTAGTTTTTCAATCCACTCAACAATTCTCTGATGTGTGTGTACCAGATATTTTTTCTTTTTTCTTTCTTTCAGCTGGCCTTGAACTGGCCACCCTCCCACCTAAGCTTGGTATTATAGGTGTGTGCCACTGTGCCTGGTTAGTACCAGATATTTTTACTAGTTACTGGTCTAAAAAGGTTCACAGAGTATTAATAATAGGGCCTGACATATGTGTAGCAAATTGTAGGTATGCTTTATATGTGTAATAATTGAATCTTGCTCCATGGTAAGTACTGTTTTCATCACTTCCCCATCTTGTAGATAAAGCAACAGGACCAGAAAAGCAACTTCCCAAGGTCACTCAGAGAGCAGATCTATGACTTGAACACCTGCCAATCCCTGGCAGACTTCTGAGTCTGGTTTCTTAGCTGTCATCTTTTTGGTGTTTCCCACATTTTCATAACAAAAGTGCCTACTTTTTTGAGATTACATACCCAGAAATCATTCATGAATCAAGTTTTATTTCCTAGCGTTGTTTTGTTTGTTTGTTTGGTAGTGGGGAACAAACTCAGGGGAACTCTACCACTGAGCCATATCCCCAGCTGTTTTTATGTTTTGAGACAAGGTTTCACTTAATTGCTCAGGCTGATCTTGTACTTTGATCCTCCTGCCTTAGACTCCCCAAGTTGTTGGAATTACAGGCAGATGCAGAGAGTTGATTTTTAAGGATTAAGTTTTCTGATTAGATACGGGTATTTTCTCAATTTTACCAGCTACATTTACTTTGAGGCATGTCCTAGTTTAAAGGGCTTGTCACAAGGTAATCAGTTCATTTCAATTTAATTTGAAAAGGAAACATTTTTTGTACCTGGCCCCTAAATTGATCCTGTGCCTTGCAGGGCAGTAATGTCATATTATCCATGGAGTGGCCTCAGAAGAGTCTTTCTTGGCCTGAAGGCTAGCAGTTTGTAATGTAAACTGTCCTGGGCTAAAGTGTGGGAGACCTGGACAGTAGCTCTTTTTTTGCCTAGAGCCAATGAGCTCTGCAAATTGAGCTTGCTACCTGATTTCTTTTGTTATGGCCTGTGGAATCAACTTTATGTCGTTTTCTGTGACAATTAAATGGGGACACATGGTGTTCAAAAATGTTCTGAAAACATAAGACCTATACTATTGGCAGCTATAGTCAGTTTATCATGAGAAACATCTTTCAGAAATCGGATGGTTTTCTTTCTTTTTTTTTTTTTTGAAAAACTTCATTTTGTTTATTTATTTTTATGTGGTGCTGAGGATCGAACCCAGGGCCTTGAACATGCTAGGTGAGCGCTCTACCACTGAGCCACAACCCCAGCCCAGTCGGATGGTTTTCTATGGTTATTTTTGAGATTTATTTTTATTACAGGTTTTCTTCAGTGTGAGGACAGGAGCTGTCACTAACGTGGTCTACAGTTGACTGTAGTCAGATTTAAGTTAAGATTTAAGTAGAGACAGATTTAAGTTAAGATTTTCAAGAAAGTAGCTTAAGGAGGAGACAGAAGGTACAACTTTGCAAGTTCTAGGGAGGTAGAACTTGAAAATAGTGGATCCAAGCAAGGGGTTGGGCTTTCAGCAGGGTCCCTAGGCAGCCTTCATAGAGGGGAACATGCAAAATATGCAGCCAAAATACCCTGGCTTGAGGTTTTTTTTTTTTTTTTTTTTTTTTTGGTGTGTGTGTATGTGTGTGTTCTCTATATTGCTTGGGCCTACCTACCTCAACTCTGGAAGAGGAAAAAGATTCAGTCAACAAAACTGACCTTACTATGAGCCAGCTACCATGTGATGTAATCAAATGTTTCTTCTTAAGTCTCCATCACAACTCCTTAGTATTGCAGAAAGTCCCCTGACCTTGAATATGTGGTGAGAGTGTCATATGACAACTCACTATCCTCTTAATCACTCCCTTAGTCTCTTGGCCAAGTCTGTGATTTGGAGGTCCAGTCAAGTTTTGCTTCCCAAATTTTAGGATCTCTGGTTTAAAGGTCACATGGTTTGAAACTTAGATTTAAAATAAGCATTTAGAATCCCTAAAGTGTTGAATCTTTACCTGAAAATCATATTGTTAAGAGCTAAAATTTGCATCCATTTTCTTGTTCTCTTTCCCTCTTCCTTTTTCTTTCTTTTTGCAGTACTGGGGATTAAACCTAAGTCCTTGCATATGCTAGGTAAGCACTCTCACAGAGCCACATCTTCAGCACGCTTTTATGTTTTTATTTTGAGATCCTCCTGCCTCAGACCACCCTCCCACCCCCCAACCCCGCCCCTCAGTAGCTGGGCTACATAAGACTCCAGCTGCAACCTTCTTAACTACACGAAGTAGACAGAGGAGTATAGTGATTTAACCAGGAATCAGTCCCGCCCCTCAAAGGTTTAAGTCATTTGCCGCCCTGCCCAGGACATATGGTGGGAGTTTAAGGGCAGGAGAGGACATTTAAATAGGTGTGGTAACAATAATTGGGTGGCGGTCCCATATCCCTCTCCTCCCTCTCCTTTTAAAAAAAAATTATACTTCTGAGACAAGGGCAATATTACATAACTCATTATTTCCTGAAATTGCCAGGTCCTAAGAATTGCCAAAGAGGGCTGGGGCTGTAGCTCAGTGGCAGGGCACTTTCCTAGAATGTGTGAGGCACTCGGTTCCATCCTTAGCATCACATAAAAATAAACAAAGGCACTGGGGAAAAAAAAAAAAAAAAGAATTGCCAAATAACACTTTTCGTGGTGCTGGGCATCGAACCCATGGCCTTGCACAAGAAATCTATCACTGAGCCACATGCCCAACCTTAAAGAACACTTTTTAAACACATTTCCGGGTCCCTCCGTAAGAACAGGCTTAAAATGGGGTCATGGTATATGTTTTAGAAGCACCACCAGAGATTCTTATAAGTTAGGGTGTTGCACTAAAGAGTAGAATTTGAGATATGGTTTTTGGCAGGTTGAAATAAAGTGTAGCATCCCACCCCCACCATCAACGGACACTCAAGTTACAAGTCCTGCCTTTGATATGCGAAGTATTTCTTTAATACTGAAATGTAAGCGGATATCAGTAATCCCAGCTACTCCAGAGGCTGAGGCAGGAGGATTCCAAGATCCAGGATAGCCTGGGCAATTTAGCAAGACCCTCTCTCAGGCAAAAGAAAAAAATTACAAAAGGCTGGGGAGGTAGCTCAATGATAGAGAACCCCTGGGTTCAATCTTTTGGACTGCAAGGATATGGGGAATACCCCCCGAAAAACCCCCGAAGTCTTCCACTCCTTCCTCTTTGCTTCACCACTTGTAACTCAGACCTGGACTGGCTTTCTCCACTTCCAGCTTGGACAAACGTACAGTCACTGAGTCTAGCTCTACCCTGGACCGAGCGGGTCACAAGGCTACGTCTCCGTCCGGCATCCTACGGGTGCTCCCGTGCCGCGCTCCCATTGGCTAGAAGTTCCCTCGCCCGGAGCCCGAGCGACCCCGGCTCGCCACGCCAGCCAGCCGGACTGTGGACTGCCCAGGGGGCGGGGCTTGAGGATGGGGCGGGGCCGGATCTCGGGGCGGGGCTTGCTGGTGGGGCGGGGCCTCACGACTGCGGACAACCTGGCGGCCTATGGCGCAGGAAGGAGCCCCGGGCCGCGCCCCGCGAGGCCGGGCCCGGGCCGGGCCAATCCCGGGCTACCGGGCGGGCGAACGCGAGGCCTGGTCTGCCGGGCCAGAGAAACTGAGGGTGGGGGACAATGGGCCAGTTCCTGGTGCGTCACGGGGGAGTTCCTTAAAGGGGAAGTGAGCGGGACTACAGGGCGGACGCAGGGTGCGGTGGTCGGCTGGGGAGGTCCCCAGCGCTTTAAAATAATGCCCGCGGCGGCCGCGCGACCATGCAATGGCGAGCGCTCGTCCTGGGGCTGGTGCTTCTCCGGCTCGGCCTCCAAGGAGTGTTGTGGCTTGTCTTCGGGCTGGGGCCCAGCATGGGCTTCTACCAGCGCTTTCCGCTCAGCTTCGGCTTCCAGCGCTTGAGGGGCCCCGACGGCCTCTTGTCTCCCGCCTCTGGGTCCGTGGGCCGGCCCGGGGTCCCCGGGGGTCCGCCGGGGCCGTCGTGGCTGCAGCCGCCTGCGGTCGGGGTGGCGGCCGGCCGGCCGGGGACCCCGCGGCGGCCCGCGCGGGGCGTGTGCGACCCGGCTCACTGGGGCTACATGCTGGGCGGCCGGGGCTGCGGCCCGGACGAGTACGAGAAGCGCTACAGCGGCGCCTTCCCGCCGCAGCTGCGTGCCCAGATGCGCGACCTGGCGCGGGGCATGTTCGTCTTCGGCTACGACAACTACATGGCGCACGCCTTTCCTCAGGACGAGCTCAACCCCATCCACTGCCGCGGCCGGGGGCCAGACCGCGGGGACCCGTGAGTAGCCTGCGCCTGCCGGACGCCCGGGGCCGCGCGCTCCGCGGGCTTCCTTCATCCTCGCGGCTGGGTGCAGCCCTCCGCGCTCCGGGCCCCCAGGGCTGCCATGGTCTTTAGGGTCCTGGGCGGACCCCTTCCAGGTTCCTGGGCTTGAGGGTGCGTGGGTGGACTGGCGGCTCTTCTCTTTCTTGGTTCTACGCGACTCTGCGAACTTAGGGACAGCGGTCCAACACTTTTACTGATGGTGATACTTAGGACCAGAGACCGGAAGGGACTGTGGCGGTGCCAAAAGCTGGTTTTTGGGGGGCTTTGGATCTTCCTTCTCAGATGGATACGTTATCTAATGAATGTATGCTGCCCTTGTAAATGCAGCTTCAGAAGACCCTCCTCCCCACTTTTAATTAGATTGCCAGACTCAGGTCTTCTTTATATAAAAATGAAGAGTTGATTCCTGGAAAGGACTTCTTGAAAACCATCCGGTGAGCTGGAGGCAGTGGGATTCCAGTGTTTCTCCCCCCAGGGGGACTTCTTAGTCTGAGTTAGGTGGGAGGAGAGAAATTCTGGCCCAGATATGGGGTCTGGACACTCAAGACACTCTTAGATTCTGAATTGGCTGTCAACCCCACTGCCTTGTACCGCTCCACAAATGCCAATCTGGTGGCTGTCGTGGCTGCAGCTGCCAGCGGCCTTCAGGGAAGGTCGCCCAGCCCTCCCCATTCACTAGCCTTGTTTGCTAAGGCAGACCTTAAGAGTCCAAGAGGGCAGCACACCCAGCTCCTCCTCCCTGGAGCGGAGAGGGGTGCAGTTCCTGGGGACCCTGTTAGGCAGGATAGGTGACTGCCTTCCTGTTTCCCTGGTCTTAGGTTGGAGCTGAGGAGTTGAATTGCCCAATGCCTGAACCCACACATATGGGTTCCTTGGAACACGTGAGGCCTGTGTTTTCCTTGGAAAGCAGTGGAATCCAATTTTTAGGTTCTAAGAAGGAAGCCTATACACTGAAGAGTTTTACAGATGGTTTTTATCTACACATCCACGTCTGAATTTGCAGTTTGATAGCATGATATTTAGTGTGGCAAGGAGGGCACATCCTGGGCCTTTCAAAAACTGTAGAAAACTGATGAGTAATTTTTCTCACTTAATCATATCAGTCTTTTTTACATATGATTGTATTTACTATATCAGTTTGAGAAAAAACTATTAAATTTTGAAAAAATACTGGTAGAAGTTAATACTTGTAGGAATTAATGAGTTATTTGTCTTAACCAGAGGGGACTTTATTATTATAAATGTATTTTCTTTCAAGCTCAACTTTTTTTTCTTCATTTATTTTTGAGAGAATAGCTTCATTAAATTTTTGCAAAAAATAAAATAAAATAATAAAGCCTAAAGTCCCTCCAGACAGTTATATTTAATTTATCTTTTCTGCCAGTTGCTGCCCATATGCCTACACATTTTTTATATGATTGCAGTTAAAGTGTGTGTACATATTTTGGATCTTAATGGCATTTTCTCATCAGTGCTCATGGTATGACAAGAAGAGGAGAGCATTTTCAGGAAGTGCCTTATTCTCTCTCTCAGACTGTTTCTCAGTCCATTTTTATCACTTTATTTGGGAAACAGTTTAAAGGGGAATTGTGACAATATGTTCCACTGGGAATATGATGGTCTGGATAGTGAGTTGATGTCATTTTAATATTTTTCTTAATGAACCTTCAGAACCTTCTGGAGCATTGGGAGCCCCTCTTCAGCATAGCATGGTGGTGGTTGATTTGATGCTCTGGTCCCTGTGGCATGATGTGTGATGTAGGCCTTAATTTCAGGCAAAAGTCTTGGATGAGTCTTTGGTTGGACCATTCAGTGGTGACTTGTGTGAGTTGAGGTCAGGTTGCTTTTAGGCAGGTATGTTGTTGGAAAGATGTGTTGGCTGATGGTATTTGACCTTTTGATTGGTACACATTTGAGGAGGTGGAAGAATTCTGGGGTCATGTGGCCTCGAGTAGAGCCTCACACCACTGCAGTAGAATGAAAAGGCTTATTTTCTATGTTCCCCTTACTTTTAACTCCTCTTGGGCATTGGTGCTTTGCAGGAAAGTTTAGAACCCCAGCTTTATCATTCTGGCTCGAAACAGTAGGGCACATTCACATCCTCCACACAAATCTATCATAAATCTTTCAGTTTTTTTATTTATAATTTATTTATCTGCTTTTGGTGATACTCAGGACACTACCACTGAGCAACATCCCCAGCACTTTTTATTTTTTCTTTTGAAACAGGGTCTCACTATAGTTGCTGAGGCTGGCCTGGAACTTGTGATGCTCCTGCCTCAGCCTCCTGAGCTGCTGGGATTTACAGGTGTACGCCAACATACCCAGCTTGCACACCTTTTTTTTTTTTTTTTTTTTTTTTAAATCAAATGTATTTTCATGATTTTTTCAAAAAAGTAGGATGAACTCGCCATTAGGATATTTTATAAAAAATACAGAAACAAAATGTGGGTGCCTAACGTGTATCTTTTTTTGTCATTCTTCCAGGCTTGTCTTGCCTGTCTTGCTTGACAGGGCAGGGTCCCATGGGGAGTTAACACAATGTAAATAAAACCTCAGTGCCTTACAGAGCAAATTTTTCTATTCAGTTATAGATCACTATGCAGAATTAGTTCTCACAGTTCTGATTTGTATTAGAGGGTTCAAATTCAAGAGTTTCTTTGAATATGTTGGATGTTATTTTTGTAATCCTGTGAATGCTCACTATAAATTCAGGCCTTGAGCACATGACTTTTCTGTCTCCTCGGTTATATTGCTATGAAAACAAAAAGCAAATAGCAAATGAACAAACCAAATTTTGGCCCCCAAATGACTAATTATTAGGTATTCCTAATTTAAGATGTTCTCTTCCTCTCTTTAAAAATCTATTCTCTTTCAGAGGCAGTCTAGTCTTTTTTGTGTATTGCCATTGAGCTGTGTGAAGGTGACAGATTAACGAAGTTCTCCTTTTGTTCCTTTGCTCTGAGATGCTGGTCCTCATTTTAACATTGCCTGAGAAATCAGTTCTGTTTTGTATTCACGTTCAAGTCCCTTTGTCTTATCTCCCTAGATTTTTAGTTCCTGAAACACAGGGACTGTTTCTCATGTTCTCTCTGTACCCACACAGCACCAGGTACACTTCTGAACAGCTGTTATAGGTTTAATGTATGTGGGAATTTAAAAAAAAAAAAACCACTTTAGTTTGATTTTGTTAGTTCAATTATATATATATATATATATATATATATATATATATATATATATATATATATATACATATTCTATCAGAGGCCACAGTTTTCTCCATCTTTTCTGTTTCAAGAGGATGTGTTTCAAAAGTTTCCATGTGGGGTGAATGCTGTGGCCGTTCACTCATGGAGTCTGGTTGTGGTTCAGCCAGCTGTACTGGGAAGATGTGTGCTCTCACCTTGTGCTAGAAGGTTGAGTCCTTGGTTTGAGGCCCTTAAGAGCTGTCAGGTGAGACTAGACTTTAGCAAGAGTGTCTAAAGAACAAGTCCACAGTGTAAGCTGCTGGCAGATGGAATGATGAGAATTTCATGCTCTCACACACTTTTTAAAGAGAATGTATATAGCAATTATTTGTTGGAAAGGAATTTTAAAAGTATTCTATTGAACATGGCAGATCTTTTTTTGTTTAGTTTAGTATTGGGGATTGAACCCAGGGTTGCTTTACCACTGTGCTACCTCCTCACCTCTTTTAATTTTTTATTTTGAGACAGTATCTTGTTGAGTTGCTGAGGCTGGGCTTGAACTTGTGATCCTCTTGTCTCAGCCTCCTGAGTTGCTGGGATTATGAGTGTGCTCCACCACATTTGGCCTAATATGCCAGATCTTTAAGTAGATTTGTCTAACTAGAGGGGAGAGAAGGAACCACTAGGGTTATTGCAAATCAATTTTCCCCCACTGTGGCTACTCTTTTATTCCCCTCAGTACTGGGGATGGAATCCAGCCAGTCCCGCATATATGCTGGGAAAGTGCTCTACTGCTGAGATACACCCTCAGCCCTTTTTTTAATCTTGAGACTCTTAAGTTCCCTATGCTATCCTTAAACTTGCAATCATCGTGCCTCAGCCTCCCAAGTAGCTGGGATTACAGGTGTACACCCTCTTATCAATTATTAGTGGCTGGGCATTATAGCAAGAAGCTTTTATTTTATTTTTTAGATGTTGGGGTTTGAATTTGAACCCAGGGCCTGATGCATAGTAGGTAAATGCTATACCACTGAGTTATACCCACAGCCCTTTAGTTAGTTTCTTATTGTTGCAGAATGGAAAATTTGTATTGATTATGAAGGTGGGAGGTTTAGCAGAAACCCCATCATATGACCTACTTATGATACTTAATTCAGAAACTATACATTCCAGTCCATTACAAACAAAAAGAATAAAATACCTTCAGCTACAGTATCAGTATTACTCATCTATCCTTTGGTCATGTGAAAAAATTGACTTCTTCATACTCTTTTTACCACTAACATCTCATCTACAGACTCCCCATTATTTCTGTTAATTTCGAGGGGATATCTTTTAGCATGAACCAAAGCAGGGTTTGGGGCTCTTCTCTGTTCTATTAATTCCTGATGATTGTGAATTTAGAGGATTTTGAAGTTGGACAGGATCAAAGAAATTTTGTGTGGTGAGCAAATTAACTCAGAGAGGGCAAAGGACCCTTGTTCAGTTTCCTTACTTCCTGTTGAGTTCTGTCTGCCCTAGGACTGTCCAAGCGAGTCTCCTAGTTCTGTGATTCCACCCTACTTACAGGCATTATAGAAACTCTTGCTCTTGAGATAGAAAATCTTTGTCCTACCAATCTATTCACAACTAGTGTCTGAATAAATAAGAATTGCTTGCAATTTTCATTTCTGATGGGTGTTTAGTTTTATGGTCTTTTTTCAAATACCTTTGCTTAATTTTAATTTTACTTACTTTTCAGTTCAAATCTGAACATCAATGATGTCCTGGGGAACTATTCTTTGACTCTTGTCGATGCGTTGGATACACTTGCAGTAAGTATTCAGCCTCTTTTTGACTTGAGATAATTAAGATGTTTTGGAGTTAACCCCATGTTTCCCTTAGGATTGAGAATTTCAGGGAACTTGATACTTAAAAGCTTTGTTGGCTTTTATTTATTTTAGTGACCTGTATGGAAATAGCAAAGGGTTGAAGGGTTGAAGGTTAAATGACCGGGGAAGCATTGCTTATCTTAAACAACGAAGAAGAACTATATGATTGTTTTATAGAGAACCGGTTTCCCCCATTTCCCTGCTTTTTCTCTAAAGGAATTCATAGACAATGTCATTGATATATATACAGTTTCTGGAATCAGTAATTCAGGAGTAAAAGATCTCAGGGTGGACATGTTCCTGAAGTGTGTTTGTGCCCTGCTGCCAGCCCACATGTGAGGCCCTGTCTGTCCTCACTCCTCTTGTTGGCTGGAGATTACCCATTCCAGTCCTGGACTGCTCTCGGGGTGTTTGTTTCACCCTTTCCTTTGGTTTCCCTCATTGACTCTGGAACTGGAAACCTGAACAGTTTTGTGACACAGGTGGCAGGCCACAAGCACTATGGGCATGTTGTCAGGTTATCTGTGTGCCTCAGCTGCCTCATGAGTACAGTTTCCCAGGGACTAGTGCAGCCTAGCATTGTTATAAAATCTCCTTAGTGATGTTTTTAAAACATCTTTTCTCAGCCCAGTGTGGTGGCTCACTCCTGTAATCCCAGAGGCTCTGGAGGCTGAGGCAGGAGGATTGTAAGTTCAAGGCCAGCTTCAGCAATTTAGTGAGGTCCTAAGCAACTTAGCGAGACCCTGTCTCAAAACAAAAAAATTTATAAAAAGGGCTGGGGATGTGGCTTAGTGGTTAAGTGTTCCTGGGTTCAATCCCTGGTACCAAAAACAAACAAACAAAAAACCCAACTCTTTTCTGTCATCCATCAAAACTTTACCATTAGAAAATTCCCATTACAATGTAGCTCAAATTCTATATTTAAAAATTTATTTCTGGTTTCTTTTAACATACTTTAGAAAAGTTTAAAGCTTTCTGTTAGGAGTTAGAATTGGGTAATGCTAGCTATGTTTGCATTACAACTCTTCTGTATTTTGCTAGTAATGGAATTTCTAGAATTTGGAAAGAACTGTAGAGATTACTCTACATTTTCATTTTATTAGTAGCAGAAATAGGATTAGACCCTTGGTCTAATAGGAAGTCTGGGCTCCTGGATTTCCTTCTGCTAGGCTGTAGTTGCAAAGCAGTTTAGTTTCCCAGTATCTCCTGAAGTCATTGCTGCTCCCTTTGAGTCATCCACCGTCACTGATCAAAATGTGCCCAGACAAGTAAGTGTGGCCTAATTAGAGCAAATTGTTGAAGATACTGGAGGCTAACTCAGCCTAAGAGTGTTGGTTTAAAAATGAATGCTCACTTGTCCCTGAACTTTTTTTTTAATCCCTAATGAATCTTTTATCCCCATGATCAATACATACCTTATCTCTATCATTTGCAGAATTCTCCCCGAAACTTGATAGTATCTGGCACACTGTAGAAGTGCAAAGTTTAGTTCAAAAATGAATTTCAACTAACCCAATATTTCCCAGCAAACATTCCAAGGATATATTCCCCAAAAGAAGAATTTTGTTCCTAAATGAACCAAAGAAATTCTGCGTCTGATTATTGAAGACCCATGTTGCACATCAGTATTTCAAAAGGCTCTGAGAAGTCTTGCAGTAAAGAAACCTATTTAACTCTCATCCAGTCCACCTTTCCTAAGTCATGAGTGAATGATTTTGAACACTGGTAGCTATCTGACTAAAGTGGCAAACTACAATGTGGAATTCAGAGGCACTGGATTTCTTCACCATCCTCCACTTGGGCTGAGATCATATTAGTACCACGGCTGCTCAAACATTGTTGCTGGGGAAAATCTGTAAGGAAACAGACCCATTTCTGTGGTTTTCATTTTAGAACATCCGGCCTTTAATGTGTTAGTGTTGTAGGCTGATTTTTTTCAGGTGTTATAGGTTGAGGTTTTTTTCTTTTGCTAGCATTTTAAATAGGCTGTAACCGATGTATTTCGGCCATACTCAGGGTTGCAGGGGGTAGGGGGAAGCAGTCCCTGACTGTTGAATGCAACTCACCACATTGATTGCATAATCTTTTAAAACGAAAGAACTGAAAGCCAGAAAAGAAACCTCTGTACTTGCTTTGACATTACAGCAAATACAATGAGGAGAAAAAAATGTGTAACAAATCATTAGGGCTAAAAAGAAGACATACTCAAAGGCAGTCGTGTCTGAAAGAATTATTTTTTTTTCTTGATTTTTCATTGTGGTATATGTGTGTGCCCTTATGATGTCATTATAGTCTTAATATTGTCATAAAATTTTCAGCACAATTCAGTTCAATTTTATTTCCATTTAGGTTAATGTATAAAGTTTTATGCCCAATTTGCACTAAATATAGGGGAGCGTACCTGGGTCTGACATAACTATATACCCCAAACAGGAGTCATACTTGTAGATAACTTTGTAAAATGGATATAGAGGGCTTTGGGTTTAGCTCAGTGGTTGAGTGCTTACCTAGCATGGATTCTGTCCTGGGTTCTGTCTCCAACACCCCTCCCCCTAAACAACAACAACAACAACAAACCCAACAACCAAAAACAAAAATCATGGACATACAGCTGATTATTTGTATGTTTTCTTTATTTCAAATGTCATTTGTTTTATGCTGTGCTTCAAAAAATATTCCCACTGGTTCTTAAAAGTATTCAGACATCTGGACAGAAGCAACAGGTTCAATCAGTTTTCCAGATGCTTGGTCTCCTGGAAACCAAGCACCCAAGCTGTGGATTTATTTGAGGAGCAAAGGGAAAGTCATATTTTTGTTTCTTTAATTTTCTGATTTATTTTTACTAATCCCAGAAGCTTTAGAAACTACATCTCTTGCATGTTAAATAGAATCAGACTGAAGCTGGAGAGAGAGAGGAGTGGGAAGAGGAGGAGTGCCAGAGATCCCAGGAGGAAGTGTTTTCACAGTTTTGCCATTTGGAGCTAGGACTTTTGAGTTGCAGGAAACGGGCTTGCCATCTGTCCCAGAAGATTTGTGAAAATAACTGTGCTTTTCTCCCTTTTGTGTTTCCACTCCCACAGTGGCAAAACCACATACAGTACAGACATTTAGATGAAGTGGCCCAGATGCTGCCTCCGTTTCATTTCGAGCTGCTATAATGGTTTATGTTCCTCTTTTTAAAGATAATGGGAAATTCATCCGAGTTCCAGAAAGCAGTCAAGTTAGTGATCAACACAGTTTCTTTTGACAAAGATTCCACCGTCCAAGTCTTTGAGGCCACAATAAGGTAATAAAATGCATTAAAGGCTTCTTTCTCTGTGTGTGTAAGGAGATAAATTCCCTTGAGAGTTTTCCAGCTCCAGGATCCAAGTAGAGAGTCCATATAGATGTTAGGGTGCAGTCTGTGTTTCTCGTGTTCATTTTAGTGTTTATCAAAATCGGAACAGTTGATTTTAAAGTAATCACATTGTAGACTGAATGGAAAAACAAACATGTTTTCATTGTTGTGTAAGATGGGTGTCCCTCTAGTGCAGACTCTCGTGGTTTCCCTCTTGTCTGGTCTCATTTCCTTCCTTCACTTTGTCCTAGGAAAATACATTCATATTTCTAAAGGAATCAAGAGCTTCTCATCTCCCCACCCGAAGAAAACCACTGTTTGTTTGCATTTTGATTTATTTCCTTCTTGTGTGTTTCTTACTAATGTCTCTCTCTTAAATGTATTGGAATCCTGCTCTGTAGCCAGTTTTCTATCTTGCTTTCTTTAGTTTGAAATATCTTGACTTTTTTCTATTTTCCTATTTAACTTAGACTTTTTGAAAATTGTATTACTATGTGACATTTCTGGTTTCTAGATGTAATGTTTATTTAAGATTAAAGTTACAAAATCGTTTGTTCCAAAAAAAGTCACAATCCATTGGAATGGGACACTTGAGGGTCTATACGGACATAGATCTAGGGTGGTGCCTCCTGTGTCTCAGTAGGTCATTTTCCTCTATGAAGTTCATCAGAGGTCAAACTATACAAGTTACCTGGTATTTGTTGTCTTACCTTTTTCTGTTTCTTATATGGCTAAATTTTCCCCCAAGTGAGTTAAATCAAGAATAATTTAATAGTACTAATAGATAATATGTACTTTGAGAACGGTTAGCATACACCCAATTAGTACAGACTTTTTCTTTCTTTTTTCTTTTTAAAAATATTTACACCTTTATTTATTTATTTATTTATTTATTTTTATGTGGTGCTGAGGATCAAACCCAGTGCCCTACCACTGAGCTACAGCCACAGTCAGACCTTTTCTTAATGTGCTGTGGTATAGGTGACCAAATCTGATGAGTGACTCCCCTTTCTCCCTGTCAGTAATGCTGTGAACTTTGATTTTTAGGGCTGGGAAGGACTTCAGGAGACCATTGAGTCAAGTCAGCTCAGTGTCCATAAGGAAATAGAGAATTATTCTGTCATTTTGAAGTGGATTGTTTGCACATATAAGAAACAGTATTTTATTTTATGTTTTGTTCTTCCTGCAATTAGGGTTCTGGGAAGCCTCCTTTCTGCCCACAGAATAATAACTGACTCCAAGCAGCCCTTTGGTGACATGGCAATCAAGGATTATGATAATGAATTGTTGCACATGGCCCATGACCTGGCTGTTCGGCTCCTTCCTGCCTTTGAAAACACCAAGACAGGGATCCCCTATCCTCGGGTAGGTAGACTGGTTTGGCCTTTTGTGGTTGACAACTGACCATTTTCCTGAATTAACACTCTTTGATAGAAGGAATGGGGCTGAGGTAGGAGAGGTAGGTGGTGTCCTTGGGAGAATTTGGTTCTAAATACAATGTAAATGGGTTTTAATTCATTTAGTTTTACTGAGTACCTACTGTGAGATGGGCACACAGTGACATGGTGACTTAATCCATCCCCTTAAGAAATTTATGTTCCCATGTTCAGTATTCTCAAGTCCTTTTATACCTGTGACTTATATCCCCTGCTACCAAGTTGTATGGGAAATTTGTCTTCATTTCTGACTTGGATCTCTTTCTCCAAAGGTCCTCGTGTATATTGTAGGAGCTTACTGAATGTTCTTACACGGATCTTTCAAGTAAAGATTAGACAAAACAGCAAATTAGCTGCTGATTTCAATGCAGAATGTAGAATGAGATTGTATCTTTGTCTCATTTGCCAAGCCAGAGCTCCTCTGGGAATTGAGTCAGCCTTTTGGGTAACCCGGGAGAACTGCCAGACCACAGAGCTTCCATGATGACACTGACTGTCATACTTTGGCTGAACCTCCCTTCTCTCCCAGTCTAGATTTGTTTGTTTGCTGAGCATTAGTGAGTTCATAGTAGCTCACTTAAAAGTTAGAAATGATTCTATAACTTGCCTTTTTCTCTATCCCCAGAGCCTGGTGCATTTGTAACTATGAAGAAAACCTGCCTGAAAGAGATGGTTTAGTGAATAGTGTTGTAATCATCCCCTGAAGATTTGCTCTTATTAATGAGACAAGACTCCAGTGTTCTTACTGTCTTGATTGTATCTGTCAATCTGAACTTACATATTTATCTTGGGTATAACAGGCAGATGGTGGGCTGACTCTCACCATTCAGGGTTTATCAGCTGAGTGTTGGGTCTGTGACTTGGCCTGTCAGCCCATGGGTTCTTGGATTTTGTTGTGAGACCTTTCACTCTTCCTGTCTCCAGGTGAATCTGAAGACAGGTGTTCCTCCTGACAGCAATAATGAGACATGTACGGCCGGAGCTGGCTCTCTCCTGGTGGAGTTTGGGATTCTGAGCAGACTATTAGGGGATTCCACATTTGAGTGGGTGGCCAGGCGAGCAGTGAAAGCCCTGTGGAACCTCCGGAGCAATGACACGGGATTATTAGGTGTGGTACCCCTTCTTCTGCCATTGGGTCTACATGACATGTGGTTCCGTCTCCTTTTACCTTCTCTGGCTGGGGCTCTCCTTCACTGTTGCTTCCTTGTACTAGTGAATTTGAAAACTGACAACTCAGTAAGAGTGGCCCTCATTGTCTCCATACCCAAATTCTTTATGTGACTTTTGGCTTAGAGTGAGACTGTAGGGTTTGATGGAAAAGAATAATGCTTATGCTATTGGAGAGCTCACTTCCATTTTGGATCCCTTGGCATATTCCATTTGAAAATTGTTAATGGAAATGCTATAAAAAGAACAGCCACGAGGCAGATTTTATTACTTTAATATAAGGTTCTAAATATAGGAATTTTAGAATTACTATGGGATAAATTCCTTTTAAAATATTGAGAAGTGTGATGGTAGATTGAAAGCCCAGATTAGACCCATATTAGGTGGGCTTTTCCCCTTGAGAATGTTGGGTTAATGTATTAATTAAAAATTACTATGGAGGGCTGGGGTTGGCTCAGTGGTAGAGCACTCACCTAGCACATGCGAGGCCCTGGGTTCAATCCTTAGCACCACATAAAAATAAATAAAATAAAGATATTGTGTCCAGCTACAACTAAAAAATAAATATTTAAGAAAAATTACTATGGAATATTTCAAACATTAATAGTAGAAAGAAAATATAATGAACAAATAACACCTACATATTCATCATTCATCTTTAATAATTATCTATTTTGCAAACTCACAATGGATTTTTTTCCCTCATATACTTGTTTGGGACATGTTTTCTTTTGGTGTTGGGAAGTAATTTGGTGGATTGCTCTAGAACCATAGAATTATAGTGGGTTCAAGTTTTTATTTTTAAAAATGATTATGGGGGCTGGGTGCGGTGGCGCATGCCTATAATCCCAGTGGCTCAGGAGGCTGAGACAGGAGGATCAAGGATTCAAAGCCAGCCTTAGCACTAAGGAGGCACTAAGCAACTCAGTGAGACCCAGTCTCTAAATAAAATACAAAATAGGTCTGGGGATGTGGCTCAGTAGTCAAGTGCCCCTGAGTTCAATCCCCAGTACCAAAAAAGAAAAAAAAAAAAAGAGATTGTGGGGGGCTGGGCACGTGGCTCAGTGGTGGAGCATCTGCCTGGGGTGCACCAGGCCCTGGTTCAGTCTCCAGTGCCACATGCACACACACAAGTGATTGCATATTTTTTTTTCTTATATTCTAAAATTTATATACAAATTTCTTATATTTAACAGCAATATTAGAAGGAAAGTCACTTAAATTGTCAGTCCATCACCAAATGATTTACATGTATCACCATGAATTTTTAATTTTGTAGCCTGGGATGTGCAACTGTTATATATTTTAAATTATAGCATGTTAACAAACTCAAAAGATTTTTATTCTGCCTTACATTTGATAGTTCATTCCAGTGTTTCTGACTTATCTTATTTTCATAGTCACCATGTTTAAAAGCTTACATAATTATCTATTAACTCTTTCTCTGGTGTTAGACACTTATATTATTTCTCTTTTTTTTTCCATGTTACAGATAATTTTCTGTTGAACAATATAATTTTTTCTTTTGGTACTGGGGATTAAACCTAGGGACACAGTACTACTGAGCTATATTCCCAGCCTTTTTTAAAATTTAGTTAGTGTTAGATACATTAATTTTTATTTTATTTTTTTTACATTTATGTGGTGCTGAGGATCAGGGCTTCACATGTGCTAGGCAAGCACTCTACTGCTGAGCCACAACCCAGCCCCCCCCCCCCCCAGTCTTTTTTATTTTGATTTTGAGACACAATCTCCCTAAGTTGCTGAGGCTGACTTCAAACTTGACATCCTCCTGCCTCAGCCTCCCTACTAGCTGGCATGCACCACTGTGCCTGGCTACACTTTTTGTTTTAAAAACAGCTTTTCAGAACACATTCCCAGGAGTGACAGTACTGAGTTAAGGGCTGTAAATATTCCTTTGGACTTTGAAATAGATTGCCAGTCTGGAAGAGCAAAATGATAAAACCTATTTTTCTTTGCATTAAGTGTTTATCCCCCTTTTTTATTGTATGCATGTACACAATGTAATAACAAATCCCATCATTATGTATAACCACAGTGCACCAATAAAAATGTGGAAAAGGGGGAAAAAGTGAAAAACAATGTTTATCATCTCCTTTTTATGTCAGTGTTTCAGTACTATATATTCAGAAAGATCTTTAGGCTGTTCAAGATACTGATAGGACTGATAAAAATTTTAGGGCCACGTATTCACTTTTTTGTTAGTGAGGATGAGGGCTCCGTAAAGCAGTGAGGTCAAAGTAGGAGGACTGTCCTCCCCCCAAGATGACGGGGACTGAAGTCCTTGTTTGTTTCTGCAGGCAATGTTGTGAACATCCAGACAGGTGACTGGGTTGGAAAGCAGAGTGGCTTGGGTGCTGGGCTGGACTCCTTCTATGAATACCTCTTGAAGTCCTACATTCTCTTTGGAGAAAAAGAAGACCTAGAAATGTTTAATGCTGCATATCAGAGCATTCAAAACTACTTAAGAAGAGGGTATGTTTCCTTTTTGTCACTTGAAGAGTTTACATTTTGAAATATTCCCATTTTTATTAACATAAACTCCTATTCTGTGTCTGCCCTCACCTTACCATCTCTCCTACTTGTTTGTCAGTCATTTGGGGGGTGAAGATCTGTAGTAGTTATCTGTCACATGGCATAGTACTCCAAAATCTAGTGGCTTATCATTGCAAACATCAGCTTGTGTAGTCTCTGAAGGACAGGGATCTGAAGCAGCTGAGCCCATGGATCTGGCACAGGGTCTTCCTGGTTGCTCTTAAGCTGTTGGCCAGGGTCATGGCCATTCAAAACGTGAATGGGGCTGGAGGATCTCCTTTGAGGTTCACTAGTGGGGGTGGGGGTGGGGGTGGCAGGCTTTAGTTTCTCACTGGCTATGGGTTAGAAGTCTCTGTTCTTTGTCAGAGGCCTTTCTGTAGGGAGTTCATGTCAGCAGGCTTCCCTAGAATGAGTGATCTGAGAGAGGGAGAGAGGACAGAGAGAGAGGGAAAAAAAAGCGGGGGGGGGGGGAGGGAAGGAGAGGGGAAGGAATAGTGCTTTCATGACTTCAAATGGGAATGATGTGCCAGCCCTTCTGCCAGACTGTTGGTCACCCAGACCAGCCCCTGATGCATAAGTGTGTCCACCAGAAAGTAGAGGTCATTAGGAGCCATTGTGGACACTCGCTATTAGAAGGGATGACACATCCCTGTGTCTAACAGTGGCTGTAATTGTAGAGAGAGCTGTAATTCAAGGCAATCATTATTTTCATCCCTTTTCTTTCAGAAGAATTGCTAGGATTGGTCTTTATACCTGATGAAAGAAATGACAGTTACCACATTTTTACTCCCTCTGAGCTTGTTAAAACAGCATTATTTGCTGTTCTTGGTTGTACATTCCAAATAGCAGGAGAGAGAGAATGTGAAGGGAGAGCCATTCAGAGCTACAGTGGCTTTTACTCTGCTGTCACTCTTCTCCAGGTTTATTTTTGTATACATTTATGTGTTCAATGGCCAATGTGGGTTATGGCTACTGAGCTTCCTGCTTCGTAAGATTTTCTTGGACTCATTTCTATATTAGGTATTGTGGGAAGCACTCGTGTGAGTGCTGTGTTTAAGGAAGAGGGTTTCTGGCTAGAATTAAGTCGTTTTTGCTTTTCAAAATCCCAATCTAAACTGAGCAGTAATCTCCAAGGGTCCTGCCCTGATGTATTATTCCTTCAGGTCCATGAGAAGAAAGTCTTTGTACAGAAAGAACCAAGTTTCCCCATTCAAGTCAAATCCTACATAGAACCATACATTGTATCAATTCTGTTACATAGCAGTATTCTTATATCTGAATGCCAAAGTGATTTTTGCAAAATACGTTTTATTCTGTAGTAGATGTTAACTTCTGCTACATTCTAGTATATTCAGCTAGTGGAAATCTTATCTCCAAACGAGTTAAGAAAAATTAATGATGATTCTGATTAAATAAAACTACCAGGGACTGCTAGAGCTCTCAGTGAACTTTCTTTTTCTTTTCACCTTTGCATGTGCTGCTTGAATTTGCAGACGGGAAGCCTGTAATGAAGGAGAAGGAGACCCCCCTCTCTACGTCAATGTGAACATGTTCAGCGGGCAACTCATGAACACGTGGATTGACTCTCTGCAGGCCTTCTTCCCTGGACTGCAGGTATTTGCTAAGAATAATGAATCAATGGAAAGGGATTCCATACCTTGTTTCCCCCCTATCTCAATCTCTTGAGTGTTCTTTAGCTCCTCTGGATTTGCATAACATGTCATGATTATTCTTTGTGAAATCAGACTCTAGAATATTAAACAGAGCCAACCTATGTAAGTACAGAACCAGACTTGCAAAGTAATTGCATGGGATGTTTGGATGATCCATTTCTGCTGTTTGTTTTTTGTTCATGAGTCATTTAAGCTCTGCCATGCCATTCACATCAGTGTGGCATATGATAGCCAGATACAGAGTGCATCTGTCTGGGCCACTGCTTTTGGGTTGGTTTTATCTCCAGCTATGTGAGGACAGATTAGAACCAGGGGTCAGACAAAAGCCTCTGTGTCACTTCTTCTTGCTCTTGAGAAAGCATCTCAGCCTGGTGACCTGTGTCGTCGTCTTCTTAGGTTTTGATAGGAGACGTGGAAGATGCCATCTGCCTCCATGCCTTTTACTATGCCATATGGAAACGATATGGGGCCCTCCCTGAAAGGTATAACTGGCAGCTGCAGGCCCCTGATGTTCTCTTCTACCCACTTAGACCAGAGTTGGTGGAATCCACATATCTCCTCTACCAGGTACTGGCATTCGTTGAACAGTTTGTTGTTTCACAGAGACTTGGCAGAGTTACTACCTATTTGTAATATTGTCAGGGTTCCACAGGGTGGAGAGAAAGTGAGCATCTGCAGCTAAATTTTTTTTTTTTTTCCTGGTCTTTGGGATTGAACCCAGGGTACTTACCACTGAGCTACTTACCCAGCCTTTTTAATTTTTTTGAGACAGGGTCTAAGTTACTCAGACTGGCCTCAAACTTGTGATCCTTCTGACTTAGCTTCCCAAGTCATCGGGATTATAGGCATGTGCCACTGTAATATATGCAGCCTAAATATGATTTTTGTGTGTGTGTGGGGGGGGAGTATACCAGAGATTGAACTCAGGGGCACTCAACCACTGAGCTACACCCCCAGCCCTATTTTGTATTTTATTTAGAGACAAAGTTTCACTGAGTTGCTTAGTGCCTCACTGTTTCTGAGGCTGCCTTTGAACTCACAATCTTCCTGCCTTGGCTTCCCAACTAAATATGTTGTTAACCTCACATTTTGCTAAGAATCATGTTTTTACTATAGGACTTATTTCACACCTCTTCTAATATTTGTGAGGAAAATTTTGTCCTTAATATGTTTCAACTCTGACCAAAGTATCCTTTTCTGGGTTGCAATTCAGTTCCAGTGTGCTGTGGAATCCTGGTCTTTATACTAATTATTCTGAAAAATAGACAGTCTGTTACTTATTTGTAGAGGAAGTCATCTGGGATTCTTCTGAATGCTGATTTTTGTCTAATACTAAAAAAAAAAAAAAAAAAAAAAATGGGCTGAGAATATAGCTCAGTTGGTAGATTGCCTTGCATGCACAAGGCCCTGGGTTCAATTTCCAGTACCATTAAAACAAAACAAAACAACAACAACAAAAAAATAAACACCCATGATGTTCACCTTTCATCCAGTTGCTTTAGTGCCAAAGGGAATGTCATTCTAACTGTAGAAAGTCTCCTCCCTGATATGTATGCTTCTGTGCACGTCACACATGCATACTCATGGAGAGTCTGTTCCAGTTCACATACACAGTAGAGTAACTGAACTTTCCAAGAAGTTGTCCCTCCCATGCAGCTCTGGAGGCCTCTGACAGATGCCTGCGTGGGCCAAGTAGAACCTGATTTGTTTTACACTCTAGTGGTAGTACTATGGTACTGCAGTTTGGATTTATTTAGTAATTTTGGGGCAGGGACACGGAGGCGGTTGCTGGCTTTATGGAACTCAGGCCTCGATCATGTTGGGGAAGTGCTCTCTACTACTGAGTTGACAACCTCAGCCCCTCAAAAATTTTCTTATACTGAATCATTGCCATTTGCTTTTAGATGAAAAAAGGAGAAATCCTATGAAACTGGTAATAGTCCTCATGCCTAAAGTGAGACCTCAAGAGTTTTTCAGAACCTCTCAAAAATGGGAAGAGGTGATATCATACATGGCCTTTCTGACCCTGGCTGGAGTGTGGCCTCTCTGACCCTTGCTGGAGTGTGGATGTGCATGCTCTGAGCACGGCATGCGTGCTTGAGTTCTCTTAAGCTTAGTTCTATTGCCTGTGGGCTTATACATCTTTGTTTCTGTTGCTACCTCCTCTTTCCTATTTTTCTTTTTTGGAGGTACTAGAACCCAGGGGTGCTCTACTCTGAGTTATTATATCTCAAGTCATTTTCACTTTATTTATTTATTTTGGTACTGAGGATTGAACTCAGGGGCACTCGACCACTGAGCCACATTCTCAGCCCTATTTTGTATTTTATTTAGAGACAGGGTCTCACTGAATGGCTTAGCACCTCATCATTGCTGAGGCTGGCTTTGAACTTGGGATCCTCCTTTCTCAGTCTACCGAGCCACTGGGATTACAGGCGTGCACCACCATGCCCAGCTGTCTTGTCTTTATTTTTGAGACAGGGTTCATAAGTTGCTAAGGCTAGCCTCAAACTTGTGATCCTCCTACTATAGCCTCCCAAGTTGCTGGTATTATAGGTGTGCACCAACCACCACACTCAGCTCCTCTCCCCCCAAATCATCTAAGAGCATATGACAGAAGAGGCATTATGGAACTCAGGGCCTTCCTCATGCTGGGGAAGTGCTCTACTACTAGGTTGACAACCTCAGCCCCTCAATTTTTTTTTTTTTTTTTAAATACTGAATCAACCTGAGAACTGACTGTAGAGGCCTTCCATAGATACTTTAAGGGGCTTATTTCCATTAGCCTCACCTTATGTTGCTATAATTGGGATGGGACCAATGTCCTGTTTCCTGTGCGTGTATCTAAGGTTTCTAGGGAGTTTTGAGGCAAGGTAGAAACTAGGTTTGTTCTCAGATGTGGTACTGTCAGGGTGGGCATTGTTTCATTTCTGACCATGATGAGGATCAGGAGAGCCAAAGTAGAGTATTGTTCTACCCAAGACCAGATTTTCTGACCCTTGTTAAAGGTGTGCTGTGATGTGGACTGATAGGACATCTTGTCCTTTACATACATGACCTTAAAGATGAAGTGAGCTGAACCCTGCTCAGCTGGTGACACGTCTCCTTGGGGAACCCTACACTCATGACGGTTGTTGATAGCATGTCTTCCCAGCCCTTATAAAAGTCTCTTTGTGTTCTCTGTAGGCAACCAAGAATCCCTTCTACCTCCATGTAGGAATGGACATTCTACAGAGTCTGGAAAAGTACACAAAAGTCAAGTCAGTTTTCTAAGTTCCTTCTTTTCTCTGTGATTTGAGTTATTGTGGGGAAATATCCTACTTTGTATTTTAATTTGTAGAACTAAGATCATTAGAGTTAATTTTGTGGGGAAATGGTTTACCTTTTGATGTAGTAGCATCTCAGTATAATGGGAATTGATTTTTATGTTTCCTCTCTTTTTTTAAAACTATAAGGTTTCAGCAGACTGTTTTTGTTTTAAGTAATTTCATTTTCCTTAGTTATGCAAATAACATACAAAAACATTTAGGGAGTAAAGGAAATACCAAGATTTAGAATATTCTCATTGTGATCTCTACAGATAACTATAGTCAGCATTTAAGTATATAAAGTCTTTTAAAATATATTTGTATATATGATGTGTACATATATGTATGTATGCATAAAACTGTATTCTATATTTCAGTTTTGTGACCTGCTGACTATGTTTTTCCTCCCTCCCTCCCTCCCTCCCTCCCTCCCTTCTTTCCTTCCATCTAGGACCACATACATGCTAGGCAGGTGCTCTAGCATTGAGCTATATGCCCAGCCCTTTTATTTTTATTGATTGATTATTGGTACCAGGGATTGAACCCCAGGGGTGCTTAACCACTGAGCCACATCCTCAGCCCTTTTTGTATTTTATTTAGAGACAGGGTCTCACTAACTTGTTTAGAGCCTCACTAAGTTGCTGTGGCAGGCTTTGAACTTGTGATCCTCCTGCCTCAGCCTTTTTATTTATTTTGAGACAGGGTCTCATTAAGTTACCCAGGTCATCCTCAAACTTGTGATCCTCCTGCCTTAGCCTCCCAAGTAACTGGGAGTATAGGCATGTGTTTCTGCACCCAGCTCAGCTTTTGTTTTTTATACATCAGTGTATCATAAGTATTCTCTTAGAAAATACTATTTTAGAATACCCACATAATAAGTTCTCTAGGTACTGGTGTTAAAAAATTTAAACCAATCTTTCTAAATTTGATGCCAATCACTTTCTTGATCTCATATTGTATCTTTGGCAAATATCTTGCACTGTCCTCCCTTCCCCAGTCTTGGGACTAACCTGGTAGTTTAGCAGCTGACACTTTTAAAATAAATTTACAAACTATCCAGGCTAAAAAAAAGTAATAGCATTCCAAAATAACATAGGTTTGCAGTGGTTTCCCCCTCCCCTTGGAACTGGGGATCAGACCCAGGGCCTTGCCTTTGCTAGCCAAGCACCTCACCCCTGATCTATAACCCTAGCCCTATAGTTAATCCATCATATGGTATTATGTAACTTGGTTGGTTATCAGATTAATAAAATACTTCTCTTCTGATATCCATCAGCGGGGGAAAGGAGCAGAGGCTGGACTGACCAGACATCTGTTTTGCAGGTGTGGGTATGCCACATTGCACCACGTTATAGACAAGTCTAAAGAGGACCGGATGGAGAGCTTCTTTCTCAGTGAGACCTGTAAATACTTATACCTGGTATGTGTGCTGAAAGATCAACCAAGGCTGTTTAGCATGGCTCAGAGCAGGCATTTTTGCAGCATTCTTGGCACTGCTGTGTGCTGGACACGGTGCATACTCTGGAATGCCAGCATTTTCAGTACTATGGCTAGTACTTCATGGTTGCAAACCTTGGGGAGGAGTTGTCAGAGAAACAGAAATAAACTCTTGATTAGGAGCTGTGTGCATAGTGGTTGGGAAGGCTTCTCTGAGAAGAAAAGCAGTGGTTTTTATTAGCTTTTTTATGTTTTTCCTTTCTTTTTGTTTCTCTGCAATGTAGGCATGCACTCCAGCCCAGCCTGAGAGTGGCATTTATGACTCCTTTTCACTGCTCTCTCTGTACATGGTCTTGCCCAAGACCTGCAGCCCAGCTGTCTCTGTCCATAAAACACCCTCAGGCACACACTTGTGCATGTGTGGACAGGGAGAATTTCTGGACCTGGAAAGAACCTGTGGCATCACTTAGTCCATGTTTGTTCTTCCTTTGGAAAGCACAGCCTACATTGAGTTCAGATGGCTTTCCTGAGGTCTTGGGGTGACTACGTGCAGAGCTGAGGCTGGAATGGTGCTCCTCATTCCTGTCCTGAGCTCTTTCCACTTCTCTGCTCTGCATTTGTGTATGTAGCTGCTTTCCTTCCTTCTCTGCTACTTGACTTGGTATGGCCACGTACAGAGAATTCTCTGGAGATGCAGAGCATCAGGGGCTCCTGCTTGGAGGATTCGGAGGTAGCAACAGTACTGATCCATTGTGTCATCCATTTCAGTGGTTCCGAGGTCTGGAGCTGGCTGGGTCAGAATCACTGTGGGGCCCTTATTAAGTCAGAATTTTTTCAAGTTGACTTGGCAATTTAATTTTGACAAGTGTTTCCAGTGATTCTGTACAAAGCCATCTTTTGGAGCTACTGGTCTGATGGTTCCAGATCACTCTCTTGACTGGTTGCTTTCCGCAGAAGCCCAGAGAGGAGGTGATGTGTCCACTGACAGACCATGTAGCCTGTGGGAGGACAGTAGCCAGTAGCCTGTGGTTGTACCCTGGGTGTGCAGAGGTCTTGTTCTCAGTGCAGCCTGGCTAAGCCTCTCCAGCCAGCAGCCATTGGTGTCAGAAGGATGTTAACAGGACCAGTTCTGGAATAAAGGAAGGAGACCCCATAGCATGTGCAAGGGGAAAGAACCCAGTCTAGGAGGAAAAAAAACCTAGGCTGTACCCCATTCTTTTCCCATGAGCTATGTCAAGACTCACTTTTCATCTGTAAACTAGTTTAGGTCACCCATAAACTTTCTGTGTAATAGTTTCCCCTTATCTGTGGTTTTGCTGTTCATGGTTTTAGTTACCTGAGTTTAACTGTAGTCTGTAATTATTAAATGGAAAATTCTAGAAATAAACAATTCACAAGTTTAAATTTTTAATTACAGTATATTGTTATGCAATTATTCTACTTTATTATTAGTTATTATTGCTAGTTTCCTACTACATCTAATTGTAAATAAAATTGTATCATAGAATTTTCGGTAGGAATAAACAGTATATGTAGAGTTTAGTACTGTGTGTGATTCTGGGCATCTGTGGAATGTCTTGAAACTGTCCCTCATGGATAAGGTGAGACTGCTGCTTTCCTTCATTCAGCATTTGTTGAACACCTGCCTTCTCCCCGACTCACCCATAGTGGGTTAGTTTTTTCCTGATGCCCCGTTGCACCTTCTCTTATTCCCTTCACATCTGCTGTTGCTGGAAAGGACTGCCTGTGAGCCACTGTGGCTGCAGAGCCCTACTCAAGACTGAGCTAAATGTTTGAGTCTCTGGGCTGGGCCCTGGGGATACGGTGATGGGTAAAACATGCTCCTTGACTCTAGCATCTCCAATTTTAGGGTCTAGGTGTGTATGAGGTGGGGTTAGTTCTAGAATTTGAGCATGAGGACTCTTGGTGGGTATATGAGAATCATCCAGGGAACCTTTATAGACCATGTGTGCTTGGGTCCTAACCCGGGGGGTTTCTCAGTCTCTGGGTGTGGGTGGGATATGGAGGTTGGGACAGGTCTAGGCATTTGAGTTTAAATAGGTGGATCCTGCCTTGAAACCAGTGTCCAATTGATGCCTTTTCTTGCAAGTCTGGTCTGAGTAGCTGGGACACTCTTCTATGAACTAGTCAGAAGTACACAGTTTTGAGTTGTTTGTTTTTTTTGTTTTTAATATTTATTTTTTAGTTGTAGTTGGACACAATACCTTTATTTTGTTTATTTATTTATTTATTTTTATATGGTGCTGAGGATCAAACCCAGAGCCTCACATGTATGTGCTAGGCAAGCGCTCTACCGCTGAGCCACAACCACAGCCTCACAGTTGCCAGTTATATCTTTTATTTTTTTGGTGTGGGGGGATGCTGGGGATTGAATCCATGTCTTAATGCATGCTAGCTGAGCAAATACTGTACCACTGAGCCATTTTTTCTCTTTCTGTCCCTCTAGCTATTTGATGAGGAGAATCCAGTACACAAATCTGGATCGAAATACATGTTTACAACAGAGGGCCACATTGTATCCGTGGACAAACATCTTCGAGAATCACCTTGGAAGGAATTCTTCTCTGAAGATAGAGGACAGGACCAAGAGGGAAAGTTTGTGCACAGGCCAAAACCTCAAGAGTTAAAAGTCCTCAACTCCAGCTCTAATGTGAGTTGCATTTCCAGGAGTGGTATGCATGTGGAGGAAGAGGAAAAAACCTAATTCCTTTAGCACTGAGAGTCCCTAACAAAGTGAATGGCACACTCAGTTTGCTGTTTCATAAAGGGACCATTGACTTAGATGTGTCATCTAGGTGTAAGGAAACCAGGAGCAGCAGCAGTTACCTGGCTGCAAGGGCAGTGGAGACAGTGGCCACAGCATCTTGGAAGGAGAGTGTCATGTGTGAGGTGTGGCCATGGAACGGGCCACTGCTTGGATGTGGCTTTGTTGATGGTGTAGGCAATACCTGATCCCTCCTCCTCCTTCTGATCTCTTACTGGAACTTCTCTTTGGTTATGTGCATGAGAAGCCAGAAGGCAAAGGAGCCTGTTGATGCAATCCATTAGGTTGTCCTCCTGGGTGCCAGAGTGGATGGAGAGTGGATCTGCAGGGGCAATGAAAGAGGTCCAGCAAAGTCACCTGCCAGCAGGAGAGGGAAGAGCAGTCAGAGTTGTTACAGCTGATGATGATTTTTTTTTTAATGTTATTTTTTAGTTGTAGTTGGACACAATACCTTTATTCCATTCACTTATTTTTATGTGGTGCTGAGGATCGAACCCAGGGCCCCCGTGCATGCTAGGCGAGCGCTCTACCGCTGAGCCACAATCCCAGTCCCTGATGATGCTTTTCAAAGTACACTGGGTTTCCAGTTTTATTTACAGTAGTGCTGGACTCAGCACACCCAGGTTCTCCTGGTGGACAGTGGGAAGATGTGGAAATGCAAGTTCCTGAGGCCTTCATGGAAGGCCCATAGGGTTGTGTTGGTTTGAATCATAAGAATGGTTTGAAAGTAAGGATCAGGAAATGGACCCTGGACCAGTTGAAATCTCAGATCTTGTCCCACAGTGCACTGGATGCCACCTGTCTTCTCAGAAAAAGCCTCATTGTCAGGTCTGCCCCTTTCCCACACTGGTTGCCTGGTTGGGGGCACCCTTTCAGCACCTTTCCTTTTGTGAAAGTTTTCCCATCATTCTGTGAACTAAATCAACAGGCCAGAGCACAGGTAGACCACCTCAGTTTCCACAGGGCCATGTAGTATGATGAAGTGAACAAAGCAAAGTTGTGAAGGAAAGGAAGAGGGGTGTTAATGATCGGCAGCACATCGTGCTCACTGTGTGCCAGGCAGTGCTCTACATGCTTCCTATATTTCTTACAACAACCCGCTTTTAGTAGATGAGTAAAGACATGGTGGCATCTGGGTCATTCATTCAGTGGAGCTGGGTTTAGACTCAGGCAGTGCCTTTTCTTTTAGAGAGAAGAGACCTCTGACCTGCCATACTCACTGATCCCATTGTGTCAAGTGCCAGGATACAGGCCCATCAGAGAGGCCCAGATCCTGGGCATGTGCATGGCCTGGTGGGGAGGCCAACTCCTCCCTAGGTGTATGTTAGTAGTGCTGGGGATACTGAAGGGCTGGGAGCAACCTGTAAGAAAATCAGGGAGGATTCACTGAGCTGGCGCTTGAAGGATGAGGAGGAGCTTCCCAGAAGGGATATTCAGGCAGAAGAATTTGTCTACAAAAGTGTGAGGGAATGTGGGACCAACAGAAGGGCTGAGGTCCTGATCTTTGGGGGATGTGCACTACTCTGTGAGTTTTAGTGCAGAGCCCTGGGTAAATGCTTTGGGGAAGAACTGTATAAGGAATGCATGTGGACAGCTGTTTCCAGGGATAATACATTTGGTTGAGTTGCAAGAACCACATCGTCCTTGAGTGTATGAGGGGAGTGCCTGTAATAAAAAGAAAATTGTACTCTTAAGCTTTTAGATTGTATATGGACGAGAAGAACATAACTCAAGAAAAACACACCATTTTCAAAAAGCTGAAGTATTTTCTGAAATTCTGGATAGATTAAAGGACCCAAGGGATGCAGCTTTTATTCCTGGCTGCTAAGCATTTACTGTGAATGCCTTGGTCTCCTTGGATCTCCATTTCTTTACCCATAAAGTAAGGGTATTACATTTCATCAGTGATCCTGAATCAGAGAGTGATTTTGCTCCTCCAGGGACACTGGGCAATGACTGGACATAGTTTGGGTTGTCACAACTGAGGGCTGGGAATTGTCACTGGTCTCTGGCAGGAAGCCAGGAATGCTGCTTACTGTCCTACAATACCCAGGACAGCTCCCCACAACAGAGTTATCTGTCCCCAAATGTCAGTAGTACCCGGGTTGAGGAACCCTGGGTTTATTCAGTGGAGCTGGGTTTAGTCTCAGGCAGTGCCTTTTCTTTTAGAGAGAAGAGACCTCTGACCTGCCATACTCACTGATCCCATTGTGTCAAGTGCCAGGAAACAGGCCCATCAGAGGGGTCCAGATTCTGGGCATGTGCATGGCCTGGTGGGGAGGCCAACTCCCAAGAGGTCAACTGGTGGGTTTTAATTTGGTATTCATTTTTGTCTTCCTAGTGCAATCGTGTTCCTGATGAGAGGAGGTACTCCCTGCCCCTAAAGAGCATCTACATGCGACAGATTGACCAAATGGTTGGCTTGATTTGATCTGCTCTCCTCTGTGTGACCTCATCTTAAACCAAATCTAAACACCTGAACCAGACCACGCCAGCATCCAGTCTGCAGGGGAAGGGGTGGCATCTGGCTGTCTGTGACAGTGTGGGAGTTCCTGTCCAACTCCTTACACACTTTGGGTTAATCCTTACACACTTCAGTGTTTCCCTTCTGTTCAATAAAACGCCCTGCTTTTTCTTAAAGTTATAATTTGAAATGAGAAGGTACACGGAAATTGGCTTCTGTTGATATGCTGATGTTAGTGAGCACAATAGGTGGGGCATCTTTGGATGGATCTTCCCAGCTTCATATTTGGGGCCCAAGTCTCCTGGCTTTGCCAGCACTTGCCCTACTACAGTATTGCCACCTCTTGGTTAGAGGATTGGGAATGGAATTTCTATGCAAAAGGGCCTAAAGTTCCCTTGGCATCCCTATATATTGCATTGAAAATGTCATGCTCTCTCTCTCCTTTTGGATCACTGAGGCTTTCCCCCATATATCAACTATGATTTTGGATCACGAAGGGGGAAACTATCCAGTTGTTCAATTATGCCCCCAGGTAATCTTCAGTGTTACAAAGTTCTTTGCTTAAGAATAATGGTCTAACTGGAATCCTAACAGTCTTTTGGTTGTTCTATTATGGTGTAAGGATTAGCTAACAGTGATATCTTGCATTTGTTTTGAACCTGGACCTATGTGAGGAACTCCCTTGGTTCCAGAACCGGGGGTGCCTTTTAGGGGAAAAAAAGAAAACAACAAAATCCCTAAGATTGTCTGAGCTTCATTCTTTCTCATATTTCCTGATCAAGGATTCAGAATTCTGACCAACTTTGGATTAAGAGTTTTGTTTCATTTTTGTGACCTGTGTCTAGTGCCAATTAGCTATTCAGGGAGAAAGAAGTGATCAGGTGACTTTCTGATGACCTTGAGCCATTTCTCTGTGTAGTACAGGCTTTAGATTAGTGCCTTATGGACTTTGGTTTGGGCTAAGGGCTGTCACACCTACTGCTGTGGTGTGGCAGGCTTGTTTTGTATTGCAGATTGATGGGGCCAGTAGTGTAAGGGGAATAGGGTGTGTGTTAGGAAGATTCTGGAAGTTCTTAATTCAGTGGACCAGTCAATCTATGATTTTAGCAAAGCATATGGGAAGAACTTGTGCCAAAACACCTTCTTTTCCTTTTTGTTATTTTCTTAGCCAGACAGAAAGTTCTCTCCTTGAACTTAAACTGACTGTTCATACAAAGCAGAGCTGGACCCAACCGCTAGCCTGGCTTCTGTGCAGCATCACAGGTTGAAAGGGCAGGAAGTCTCTTAAAAATCGCCAGCCTCCTGTATCATGTTTCTCACCCGTGAATGTTCATATACTTCACACAATTTTAGTCTTTTCAAAACTAGAAATAAGGGTGGGAGATGTAGCTCAGTGGTATATATAGACTGCTTACCTAGCATGCACCTGGTTCAGTCTGCAACACCACAAACAAACCTAGAAAGAAGAGCCATCTAAACCATTGCATTTTTAGTCAAAAGGGAGAGAAAGTTTATTTCTTAAAAATTTAAGTGTACTTGTTTTGAAAACATGTATCATTCACTTCTGTGGGATTTTTAAAGGGGTGATTTTCAGCAGTAAATGTAACATTTCTCATGCAATTTGTTTTAAAGTGAGAAAATGTCAAATACTTTTTTTTTTATTTTAGAAGTATTGTTCTATTAAGTGTCTCATCTACTGAACAGAATACTTTGAAAATACTACTTTAAATATTTTCATTAACTCAGTAAAATGTTAACTCACACATGTACACACTGTGTGTTCCCACCTCTACTTTTTCTCCAAGCAAGTTGAGGTGGGACCACGAATGACACACCTGGGAGAACAGGCCGGAAGACCAGGTATGTCAGGGAAGGAAGTGAGTGCTTTGGCATGGTTTTCTCTATGGCTACCCTCCCAGCCCTCTTTGTGGCTTCTGTGGCAATGGTGGTGTGCAAGCTCTCCAGTGTTCCCCTTCTCACCTGGGCCCATTACCTGTCATTCTAGAGCAAGCTCAGGCATTTCTTCCTCCTTCTGCCCTTGGAATAGGCAACACCCTGGTGCCTGAGTATAGCAGGCGGGTCTTGGGTACAGGCCAAGGCGAACCCCTTATTTACTCTTAAACCCTCCTGGCTTCTGCCTACTCGACTCACACCAGTTGGTGAGACTCTGGGTGAATCAGTTACTGCCACTTAATCCTGGTTATTGAGCTTCCAGACTGTCCAGGTTAAAGTGTGATGTGACATTGTCAATTATTTGTGTGGCTAGGTGCCAGAACACTGTTTGGTTTCAGTTATGAAAGAAGGTTTTCTGAGCCAAGTTCAAAGCTTGCTTGTTTTCTTTTCAAAAATCAGGATGTCAGCAGCAGTAACATATCTTGCAGGCCTTTTGTGTTCTCTTCCATATTCTGAAATACTGAGTAGGGAAGGGCCAAGGAGGAGAATGTCAGAGAAATCCCCTTGCTCCGTATTTTGTCCCAGGAACCCCTCCAATCTGAAGACTTCATCCTTTGGAACAGCTCTGAGGCTGGACCATCCCATGGTGCCACGAGTAGCTAGTTCTAGTGTCAGGCTTGGTCAGCAGGTTGAAGTCAGTTTTGCAAAGAACTGTTGTAGAAAACTACCATATGGTTTGAACTGATGGGATACAGTTATCCCATGCCAGAGTTTCAAATTGTTACAAAGCTGGCCTAGCTCCTTTAGACAATGTAACTGAAAGAGTATGTCACAAAGGAATGTTTGCTAGCTCTCTTGATTGTGCTGCCATTGTGAAGAACTGGCTTCTGTTTTCTAATCCTCCTTTCATTTTCTTCCTAGCTTCTTTTTCAGAGCTTGTTCTTTGTTACTGAACTCCCACTTTTGATAAAAAGTTCTGGGCTTTGCTTGCCCTGGATTGTGGGCTATGCACAACACTTAATTTTTTATGTACTTTTTATGTACTTAAACAAAATGGGTGGTGTCTGTGCAGGTAAATACCAGCCAAGAGTCCAGTTATCTGGTTTGGTAAATGCAGTTTTATAATCTGAGGGTCTTAGTGCCCTCCACACCTATCCACCTCTCCCCTGATCCCCCCACCCAAAAGAAAAATATCCCTCAGTGTTTCTCAGCTCAGTTTACTGAATAATTTCCAATTGTAATTCTTCACTTTGGAGTTTGTAGACTCAATGTCAGACATTCCTTTCTTCTGGAGGGCTCCAGAACTCTTTTTCTTTTGATAGTCTCAAATTTAGTGCTGGTAATAAGGTAGGGTCCAGTGGTAATGTTGGCCACGGAGTAGCTGAGCAGAGACCTTAGAAAAAAATTCTAATCTTTGCTTTTCCATTCCCAAGCCTCCAGCTCCTACTCTAGTGCCTCTTCCCTGCAGGGCAGGGACCCCGTGTGAAAGCCAGGAGGTGTGGCGGCCTGGGCCATGGGTTCCCAGGGCCACAGGGCTCGGGGTTGTGCTGCACTTGAATTTGGATGTGAATCTGATTAAAACAAAACAAAACAAAACAAAAAAACAGTCCTGTGGAACTCCCTGATTCACAACTCCCTTCCCTCTTTCTGAGAGGCAGAGGAATAATATTTTTAAAAAGGTATTTTGTTTTAATTTTAAATAGCAAAACACAAGCTGCATTTTTATTTATTATACATGAGAAAGGTAAATCTGTTTTACAAAAAAAAATCTAGAGTTGGAAACTCTGGGAAAACTCACTGAAATACACAAATGCTTCTCTGTAATGTGCAATATGTTTTGCAACTATAGATATTTTATGTTTAATCTGTAAATAAGAAATGTATTTAAATTAAAAGGGAGCTTTTTGTAAAAGGACCAAATGTTCTTTTATAAATGTACTAAGGAATATCTTGCTCTTTGAAATTTATTAGGATTTTTATGAATAATTTTTATTAAAGAATTTTTTTGAGTTGTCATCGTGTTTCTCCTTTGTACACTATATACACATTACATGTGGGACAGGGGAAAATTATGAAGGGAAAATGAATAAAATCTTTTAAAATTCATTATTTACAGCCAGGCTTCCTTGTAGAATTCTACTGCATTTTTGTCTGTCACACCCTTGCATGTAAATATTCTTAGCTTAGCACAGTAGGTAAGGCCCTTTCATGTGGCGGGTCTCATCACCAACCTCCCCTTTCCATTCACCTCCTTTTTCCTAGGCTCTGACTTGTTCCTAAATCTGTTGCCATTTGCTTGAGTCTAATCTAGAATCAATTCTAGCTGAATGCAGGGAGCACTGGCCTCCCTTCTGGCATTCCACTCAAGTCCCTGATGGGATCTTGAGGGAGAGAGCTGATCCCATCTCCTGGTGTCTGATGTCTCTGTCCCAGTTTTGGGCCACAGGCAATTCTGATGGGTTTGTTTAGAGACTGTAAAGCACAATAGGTTGGAGGAGAGTCCTGAGATCAGAAGCATCTTGCTAATAAGAACGGAATCTACCATTGCCAGGCAGGTGGCAGCTGTGTTTGTGAAGTGCCACGGATTTGCAGCCATTTGACAAAGGTAGGCTGGTCCAGGTATACCGAGTGGACCCGTAAGAGCCAGGGATGCCACCTTGGCACCTACTTGCCTTCTCCAAGATGCCTTGCCTCCGTAGTATGGATGTGTGTGGCCTCAGCCAGCCGTTGGTGAGTGGAATGGAGCAGCCTGTGAAGATGCAGTTAAGTGCCAGGGCTGAGAGAGCAGGAACAGCCCACGCCATGTGGGTACAGTCTTAGCTCTACACTGACTATCTGTGTGCCTTGGGCAAGTGACAGTTTTTATGGCCTCAGCTCTCCCATTCATCATGGGATGATTATAGCCCACACTCAGGGTGGTGTGAGGACTGGAGTAGATTAATATGTGATGTAAGTAAAATAGCACCAGGTACAGAGTAGATTCTGTTTCCTAGGATGATGACCAAGGTGGGTTTGTTTCCCAGGATAAGTCTTAGTGGAGCTAGGGTTGTAGCTCAGTGGTAGAGCGCTTGCCTTGTATGAGTGAGGCCCTGGGTTCGATCCTCAGCACCACATAAAAACAAATAAAATACAAAGGTTAAATTCTTAAAAAAAAAAAAAAAAAAAAAAATCTTTAGTGTCTTTCAGTAGGGACCCTGAAGAAGAAATAAGAATGGGAAGTTGCCATAGATAGGCCTGGCTTTGTCCTTGTGCATGTGTGGCTTGGGTCAAGAGTCATACCTGCTTGAAGTTTCCTCATTTGTAAAGCCAGAGATAACAGTACCTTAACTCCAGGGGTTCATGTGAGGGCAAAGTAAAGCAGCAGCTATATTTTGTTAGAGCATATCAGGTGGCAGCAGCTAAAAGCTTTACCTATGTTACTTATGAAGTTTTAATCAGGGAAGAATGCAATTGTTCTCCCTATCTCAGACGCCCAGACTGTAAGGTCAGGGTGCTAGGTATGATACCTGTGCCCCAGCACCACTGGTGGTTATAGTTGGGTGCCTGGCATGTCTGCTCATCTCTGGCACATGGAATGAACAGCCTCTGCCACCGTGTGTGTGTGTGTGTGTGTGTGTGTGTGAAGTTTCACAGTCAAACCTCAATGAAGTCCTGGGAGGTCAGTTCTATTTCTGCAGCTGAGAGTACTATAAGGCACACATCCTTGTCCCACTCACACTTGAACCAATGGCCTTGAACTCTTTTAGGTAATTAGTTGTACCTAAGAACAACTAAGAGGAGGAAAGATTTATTTTGGCTCACAGTTTCAGCAGATTCTGTCCGTGGTCTGCTGGCTCCAAGGCTGAAACGTGGTGGAAGGGTATGGCAGAGGAAAGCTGCTCAGTTCATGGTAGCTGGGAAGAAGTGCGCGAGAGAGGGTTCAGGGACAGATCTAGTCCCCTAGACCATGCCTGGCAGTGCCCTACTTCCTTCAACTAGGTCCCAATAGTCCATTCAGCTATCAATGGATTAACCCTTAAAAGTGGATTAATCCACTGATGAGATCAGAGCCCTCATGATCCAGTCATTGCTTAAAAGCCCCACCTCTGAATCTTGCTGCATTGGGGGCTATTCTTTCAACACATGAGTTTTTGGGTCTGGGCATTCCAGATCCAAGCCATAACAGGTACCATGGTGAATAATTTGTCTGCAGTCCCATATGGAGAGAAGGGATAAAAATCTATATTGCCTAAGGAATGTAGCTCAACCCTTGATCTGAAGTGGTGCCTTCCCAGAGGGTTGGAAAGGGGTTAAGACTGGGCAGCATGCCTGCTTCTTTGTTTGGGACATCAGCTCCCAGGTGCCGAGGCCCTGGAGCTTCAGAAAATGAAGACCCCCAGAAGCCACAGTGAATGCCCCTTTCCTTACAAACTGGAATATTCTCTGTGCCTAAGTGAGGGTGTGTGAAGGAGGCTATTGCTATTCTGGGAGTTTGCATTACCTCCAGACAACAGAAAACCTCCCCTTAAAGAATCTGGCTCTCCTAGGTCAACCTAGGTGCCCTTCAACAGATGAATGGAAAAAGAAAATTTGGTACATATACACAGTGGCATACTAATGCCATCAAAAGAATGACTATGATTTTGCCAGTAAATGGATGGATTTGAAGACCATCATGCTAAGTAAAATAAGCCCATTCCAAAAAACCAAAGGCTGAATGTTCTCTCTGATATGTGGATACTTGTTAGAGTCTGTAAACAAGTCAAAATAACACCTGGCATTTTGCCAGGGGAATGTTAGAGTTCGTAAACAAGTCTGGATGGTGCCTGGCAAAATGCCAGAGGGAGTGGTTTGAGAAGTAACAAAAGCAAGCCATTAAGTGTAGAGATTCCTTATTGGTTGACTGATGTATCTAGTTTATGCTAATTAGATAAGCTCTGTGGAATGTATAAATACTGCTCCTGTCCTGCAATAAACGGCTCCCACTCCTGCTGTATCAACGTACACAAGTTATTCGTCACCCCCCCCCCGGCTAGTTTGCTGCAGCCGGACTGCGGCAGATGGTGGCCTGTTACGGGGAGCCCCGGGACACTCGGGGGTAAGTGACGAAAAAAAGCTGCCCGTCCATAGATAGGACGGGGGCAATCTGCTCGTCCCTAGGCAGATAGGGCGAGAGGAAAAATGGCCATTTTGAAAAGATTGATACAGTATGTTTGTGTCTTGTTTTGTCTTGAAATGTTGTATTGTCTTTGTGATGAAAATATGGAAGGGGTGAGAAGTAAATTTCTAAGGAAAGGAGGCACCCCAGTGGAACCAAGAATAGTTAGGGCATGTGTTGATAAAAGCCCAAGAACTCTAGTCAGAAAGAAAAAGAAAGTTCAGAAGAAGGATTATCAGAAAAAAAGTTGCAGCAAAAGGCTATTACTAAATACTTTTCGTTACCGGAGGGTGCGTGAAGCGGAGAGAGGCGGCTGCCGAGTGTGCAAGCCGGTCACAGCGCAGCAAGGATTTTCCAAGAGGCGGCGGCGACTGGCCCTTCCCCGCCTCCTGGCCGGGGAGCTGGCTCTTCCACTGCCACGAGCCCAAATCTAGACCTGACCTGGAGGCACAGTCTCGCAGGCTCTGGCTCCCTGTGCCCAGTAGCAGTTTGAGTCGGGGACACTCCCCAGGGCCATCTGGGGCTGCCCAGGCACTACAGCCAGCAGAAGACGCTACTGGTGTCCCTGATGTTTGGTCATTTTCAATGCCAATAACTAAGCTACAGTGGTTCTCCCACACCTGGAAGCTGATGAGTAATGAGCACTATTAATGCTTATTTCAAATGCAAAAAAACCTTGATATAATGTACTAAATTGTTCAGAAGGTTGTTTTCTTAGTAGAATGCTACAGGATTTTCTTTAGCATCTTTGCAAGAGTTCCTGCCTTCGTCCCAGTGCCCGTAAAGACGAAGGTGGAAGAATTTCCAGTGTTGCTGAGAACCGGACAAGACTTCGGCTGAGAAACGGACGAGACTTCGGATCAAGCTAGCTGCCTGCAGAACTTACCTGGACTGTGATTTAAGCTAGCTGCCTGCAGAACTTACCTGGACTGTGATTTAAGCTAGCTGCCTGCAGAACTTACCTGGACTGTGATTTACCTGGACTGTGAGTTAATCTATTGAGACACTGCTTTCTGGAATGAGACAACAAACTGTAATCTATAACAAATTGTAACTCAGTATCTTTGCTAACAGTGTCATTGCTGGTATAATTTTTCCAAGGGCTTCTTGCATGGAGCCATCAAGTGGCTTGGTATTGTGGCATTTTGTATCCTCCCTTTCTGTTTGTAGCAGGTTATTTATGGTGTTTCTGTAAAACCCACTATGCTTGTTATTTAAATTAAACAAAAGGGGGAAATGTTAGAGTCTGTAAACAAGTCAAAATAACACCTGGCATTTTGCCAGGGGAATGTTAGAGTTCGTAAACAAGTCTGGATGGTGCCTGGCAAAATGCCAGAGGGAGTGGTTTGAGAAGTAACAAAAGCAAGCCATTAAGTGTAGAGATTCCTTATTGGTTGACTGATGTATCTAGTTTATGCTAATTAGATAAGCTCTGTGGAATGTATAAATACTGCTCCTGTCCTGCAA